AGTGGACTTTTATAGGTGAGAGGCAGGAAGTGATTGGGAACGTGGATCACGTGCGTGAAGTCGGCAGGGAGCCTCTCCCTGATTGATATCTCTTACCTCATCTGTATCCTACTCCCCATCCTTCCTAACAGCGATGCCTAATAAATCGTCTGCAACCTACTTCCTCTTAAAGTCTGAGAACCTGGGACCAGAGGGTAGACAGGCAGTAACTACACCAATCATCAGGTTAGTTATCGACGACTCGAAAGGTCCGGGACAATTTGAGTGATCGTTATTTGCGTACTTTTAGCAGGCTATTGGGTAATGGCGACGGAATAAAGTTTGTGGAGCAAGAAGAGAAAGCATTAATGTGAGCGATGGCCACGAAACGAAGAAATTAGGTCTATTATGCGCAAACTAAGCCTAAAGAAAAGTCATCAATAAAATGAAGGAGTTTATTTCTACTTTGGTGTTTTGCTACCTTAAGTATTTTAAATTAACATGTAATAATTTGTAAGCAAATGAATCTGAAATACATGAAAGTGAAAATGAGCAGCAAAAATATCATCCTGTTATTTGCTAAAAAGTGCATTTAGTAATATCATTTAAATTACTAGTCTAGGTTAGTTTGTTTCAATCTGTCAATTCCCTTTAGGGTATGTAACAGTACCGAACTTTGAAGTTATGGTGATGTCCGTCGGATTTTGCTTTTGCAAACATGTGTGCTCCGTTAACCACAACGGATGAACCGAAGGCCAGTTACTTTTGAAAACTCGGATGATATTCGCTTGGATCCTTATTTCAAAAACCTTCCCTCTGCTACCTCTGAAAAGCAACGCTGTTCAAATAACCATCGCGAAGATCCGGGTTCTAGCTCCAATTCACGGTACATTTATGATTTCAAGGCATCTTTTCGTAACTTTTATTTAGCAATCGCGTGAATGGACTAAGCAGTCGAGAAAGGCGCAATAAATTTCGAAGCAAATCTATCGAGTCGTCCCATCATACTTGTGATTTGAATTCTAAATCTAATACTAGTCCCTCTTCCCAAGCTATCCAAGGTACTTAGATTGCGTTTTGTCATTTCAATAATTTTAATTGTTTGGCTTTATTTTTTTGCCACATTTTGGTATTTATAGCTTTTCGTTTTATTTGTTGACTCAGAAGACATGGATCAACCAGTTAATGGTGGTGGTCAATATCGACACTTTCCCCCAGCTGACGAAGTGGGTGGAGACAGTTCAGATATGTTGAATTCATCATCCATTGGTGACGATCACTTATCCCGTAGGCGCCTTGTCAGCTCAAATAACATCAATACTAACCCGACTTCCCGTGACTCGGATATTGACAATGAGGCGCCTGAAATTGACGATGATGATGATGACAATGAAGTTGGCACTAATGCTAATGATCTTTCAACAGTCTATCATATGCGTCGCCAACAACGTCGTCAGCAGCAGCGTCTAAGACGTCGGGACACGTCTTCTGCCTCAGTTTGTGGAGACACAGCATCAAGGAGACGTCAACCCATCAGCCTCTCGCGCTCTTCTACTCGAATCGGTCAGTCCTCCATACCCCCGCCACCTTCAGAACCACCGCCTTCTCTACCACCCTGTGGCATTGATTTGAGTAGCCAGTACTCCATGTATCCCGTTCTTGGCGGTGGTGGATTCAACCTTGTTGGTCAACAGCCATCGGCCACACCGCCCACCATGCTTCAAATTGCCGGCCTGCCTGTGAATTATCTGCCTCCAGGTAAACATTTATTTTAAAATAAATGATACTTTTTCAACTCTTGCGTACTTTCAGCAAGTTAGCGGAGTGTCATAGACACACTCTACTTTCTAATTTTGTCCCTATTTTAAGGTTGTGTTGTAATATCTTAACCAAACTTCCTCCCCCCTCCCTCCTTCAATGGTCCATTTCGGGTGCTGTCAATCAAGTCGGCAGGCACTTACACTTGCACAACAACTCACAATTATGAAGTTAGACTTTTCTAAGTGGGAACTTAAACATACTTTTAGGGTGGTATTTGACGCCTTCCAGTGTTTGAGTGATGGTAGGATTTTTATGATTGCCACGTGTTTTCATCAGCTAATCCATCGAAGATTATGTCAGTGGATTTAATGGCTGTCTGATTTTGAGTGCTTAATCGGCGCACAACCTGTCGTTAAGTTTCATAAGAGGCTGACAGACGGTGAACTATCCCTGGCAAACACGCAACGACCAATCGCAGTAGAGCGGAATGCTGTCATAAGGCCTTAAAGCTCTCAAAATACTTATTAACTGACTTTAAAGCGCCTCATGGTTAATTAACTATTAAATTGATTAAAGAATAAATTGGGGAAAGGATTTGGAGGACTTTTCTTTCATCCGTATTTTTTTATTAAATTGAAATTGTCTGCCAAAGTGGATAAGCTTAATCACTTGCCTTAGTTTGAGGTAGTTTGAGAACTCTGAGGGGTCAAATTTGCATGTACAAATGACGTCACAAAGCGAAAAAATGAGTACTTTGAAGGTGTCGGTTCTCCAAAGTCGCTCCGTCCTCTTTCCGTGGTCTGACTTTTTTGAGAGATCAGGTATTTGAGGAGTCATGTAGGCATTTCTGTCTGCCTTTGTGCCAACTCCTCGTACCCGTTACTCGTTAAAGCTCACACTAGACGTCGGCTTTTCTAAAAGGGAATCAATCGCTTTTGATACTCTGATGAGGGTGGATGAGGGCCCAGAAATGCCTCCTCATTCTTCTTGTAGACATATTTCATTTTGAATGAGGAGGCTCTTCACTGTGGGTTTTCCTGCGGTACTAAAAAGTAATCTCCTCTCCACCTAGAAACCTTTCCTTGTCACCATCACTGCTACTGTCTTTTCTCTCTACTCGACAGGTAGGCAAGTCTCTGGAAGGGACTAACAGAAGTCTTCATCTTTACTTATTGTTGAGATTCAAAAGAATTGTTGCATTTCTTTGCTGCTTCCTCCCTCAATATCTACACTTCTGCCTCCCTGGAACAGAATACATTTGCAAATATGAGCATTTGTCCACCCTCCAACTGTCATGTGTGTTGCATAGAGTATTCACTTTTCATTCTCCTCTTCCCCTAGTCATTCTTTGCCACATCTGTTACAACCTTTCCGCATTCAAAATTGCGTGTAATTCCCAATTTACACTCGCCAAAGGTCCCTTCTGACTTACACACACACACACACACACACACACACTTTTTTTACTTCCTGGCCTCCTGACAGGCATTCCCTTTCAACAACTTCCAAGATAGTAACAACTTGACAAGGACTTTGAAGCTCCCTGTGGTAGTACAATCGAGGTGTCATTGGAATTGACAATTCCACTCATTGTTAAGTGCAGATTTGTTGGTTACCCTTCTTTCTCTCTCTCACTCACTCACTCTTCGTCTTAGTGAAAGTAGAGCGAGCGTGTTAACGTAAACATATATAAGCAGGAAGGTTGCACAATAAATCACTCTGCACATGACCTCTGTCTGTCATGCATTGTCTTTTGTGGCAGTGAGGCGTTGAAAGTTACCAACTGTTGACAGAATCATTAATCTTTCCACAAGGTCTTGTTCACCTCGTTTCCTTTTTTTCCCCCCCCCCCTCTCTCGCCTTCGTGATTATCAACAAACTTACTGACGCAGGTTGGCGGGGAGGGGGAAGGAGGGGTGCTCCTCCTCCCCCCTCCTCCTCCTCCTCCTCCCCCTTCCTTTTTTTTCTTCACCTTTGATTTGAAAGTAAATTTGACGTCCTTTGACAACAATGATTTGTATGGGATGGAGGTATTCATGTCTTTTGTGATTGTTTACGGGTGTAGGTTTACGCTACTTGCAAATTTTTGTTAGCTCAGCGCTTCGTCTCCCCTTCGCTCTCTCTCTCTCACTGTCAGATTGACACGTCTGAGGACTCGTGACTGGAGTTGCCCATTATTTAAATTCACAAAACTCAGGGACAGAGGCGAAGGGAAGGGGTGGGGCGTCCACCGTCCTCTCTCCTTCCCCCCTAAAGGCCAAAAGGACTTATCTGATTCGGACACCACTTTTGTGGCATCAAAGTCATATTTGCCTAAAAGTGGACAAACAGATTTTACTTTATTCCCCTTAACCGAAAAAAGGAAGTCATTTTAGGCTTGTCACAACAAAGGAGCTTCCGTTAACCATCTTGTGGACTTTGATCAACTGACTTTCATGAGTGGTCTAACAAACAGCTTTCTGCCTTTTATTTCCTGTCTTCATTTGAATACCTTTTAATGTCACACTGGTAGACAGGTGACAGGGGGTTACAATCAAGTAGTCGAGGAGGCAAATTAATCTACCTATTTTTAACAGTTTTAAAGGAAATTAAACCACAACAACTCTTGAGGTTTTCTTTTTTGTTTTTGATATCGCCACTATTACATCTGTTTTTTTCTCCCCCAATTGTAATTCCCTCTCTCTTCAATTGAATGTGTCTTGTGTGTGTGTG